CGAAAAATGCGCCCGCCGCGTACCTTGGTGTCGGCCTTTCCTTGATTCACGAGTTGTAACGTAGTAAGGATTGGACCCAGAAAGCCCAGTAGCCCCCAATTCAGAGTATACTCTAAATCTTTATAGGGCTCCCAGTTACTGGGCTATGTAGCTATAGGGTATGTATAGAACCCAGTTCCCATCATTTAGGTAACTGGAGCCTTAGCGAATCATATTATAGGGATCCTAGCATCCCTTTGAGCCTTGCGGGTATATTCCCCAATTAAGGGATGTTGGGCTTTCTGGGGAGACATGGATTCCGACCCTAGCCCCTCTCTACTCTGTAAGAATGTAGTAGTTTTCCATGTTCTTCTCAATCCTCCCTTCCCCGCTGTTTAGGGTGTAGAGTTTAGGGATTAGAGTTAGTGCCAGCAAGTTGACCACACCTTAGGCGATCTCTTCATCAATAAGCTGACCGGCAAGGACAAATACGAGTTCGGCACCGCGGCTTCCAAATTCAAAGGAGATCTCAACTGTATCCTTCCCCAGAATAAACCCAACCCTGATAACAAATAGTTTCTCTAACATTGGTGCTATATTGGATGTTTTTTCATTGGGTGATGCTTATTAGGTGTGAGGGTCACCACCAGCGCAAGGAAGGCGACGCCCCCTTTTTCTTTGTTTTGGGCCATGCCTCTTGCTTACGCAAAAGCCTCGCTTTACAGAGAGCCATGACTGTAAGAGCCCTGGGCTGATAACGAGATTAGGCGGGCTATTGAACAGGACCATGCAAAAAAATGTCCCCATCTAGGCCAAGTCCCATGTGCACATCCAGCAGGAGGGAGAGCTTGCTGCTGAGGCCCCCAACTCCAAACCTTGACGCCCAGAATCCCTAAACCTTAAGCCCTAAACCCTAAGCCCCAAACCGCAACCCCAAAGCTCCGGCCCCAGATTCTAAACCCGTGACCTTGACTCTAGTGAGCTCATGCCGCTCATCACCAGGAGCCTGAAAACACGGCAGCTTAGGGTTTAGGGTTTAGGGGGAGTATCATCCAACTAGAGATGTTGAGGTTTCCAGTTTCATGATGCACGCGTGATACCCAGATACTCCGAATCATTATTAGAATTGCTTGGGCCTGCAGCGCAGGACTTGGAGGATAATTGTTTACTCCCCCTCCTCCTGTTCCTCCTGCTGGTGTTTCTGCTGCTACAGCTACAGGTACAGGCAGGTACCGCAATTGCTACCGTGACGGCTTCTCCTTCGCCCACCCAAAACCTTATTCAAACATTAAGATCCCTGCCCTAAGGCTCTTGGACCCGCCTACTCCCTTCACCCTACTATTAGATCCCCCTGATATTAGACAATAGTTTCAGGGGTCGAACATCCGTCAGCGCACTTCGAAAGGGGCAAAACTACTTCATGTAACTAATTGACTGGCTCAATTTGCTTGTTATGATTTTCCAGGGAGTGTAGAAAACTAAAGGCAGCCCTATCAAATGCTTCCAGTAAATAACACCCTAATACGTACTAGACAGTTTACGATTATTCAATATCAGGCGGGGGAGGGGGGGGGACGTCATGTAATATTCGGGGGAAGAGATTACTTGTAGTGACCTGCCAAGCCTCAGCCGCCCAACCCTTCCTACAGAGCCCAGGACAGTCCTAGATCCCTAAGGTACAGGTTTTGGGTTTAGGGTGTAGGGTTCAGGGATAGTGGAATCACTACACGGAACCTCCGAGCATTTAATCCCCTATAGTAGGCAGTTCTTTGATGGTAGTTTGGGGCTCAAGGCTAAACCCTATTCTAATATTTAAAAAGATCCAAGCCCTAAACCCTAAACCCCATACCCTGGTCCCTATAGTAGTTTCCATTTTCTTTTCCAGTATCCCAACATAGCCCCAGCATGCCCTGCAGGTGACCTGTCCAGATTTGTTGGGGGCAAGCTTCAGGAAGCCGTCGGCAACTTCACCGGCGCCCAAGCTAATTTGAAAGAGGTGTTGAGGTAGATCGTAGAAGATATGTCAGGCTAAGTAAGGATTTGGAAGGTTTACGGTTTCAGTCGAAGCGGGGTCGTTTTCTTGGGGGGTGCTCCTAAAACAAGGATTAGAGTAGTGTGGGGTCTATGTATGGGGTCCGCTCTGCAACTACCAAGTACCTGCAGCTTTACCGGCTGCACGCACCAGTTAATGGGGAGAACTATGGATCTGTCTGAGCGTTTGGATTCAAGGTTAAGTGAAATATGGGCAAGGCGTACTGTTCTGGATGTTGTGGTTGTGCAGCCCGCGCACAGGCGTTTGTTGTTCACAGTCTTAGAGTGCTCCCGATGTGAAGCAATACTGCATTGGTCCCTCCAGGGCAGTTATAGGCTTTATATCTATAATTATATATTCATTTATTCAGTTACTTATATACATCTACATACATATATATATACATGGCTATAATGTGTACGCGTAGGAGTATAGAGACGCAATGTACTTGCAGATTCACGCACTTGCACTTGCAAACTGTGCCTTTCTTGTTCTACCTAAACCCCAAAAGTATGTAAAATAATAGCCCTAAACACCAAAAAACAGCCCAAAAGGCCATAATTCTACATACTTTAGGGGTCCAGGTAGAACCCTTGCAGCTGAAGGATGGCCAGGCTCGCGCCCAGCCCCGCGCATGCGTCAGAAACTGTTTAGGGCTTACGGAATCCTCCCGTCCCTAGCCCATATGAAGATGCCTATCTTCCGGTACTGTAAAAACCCCACGCCTTAACAAGTATTCCCGTTGTAGCGCAATATCTAACATATCGGGAATTGGTGATATTAGGGCGGGGTGGGCTGGGGGATTTAATCTTAGGAGGAGTGGATCATTCAGATTGTGGCTCCGGCCACGGACACCTTGACCAATCATGGTTTAGGGTTTAGGATTGAGGGACTCCAGGAGTAAAGATGAACACTTCCTACATTTTGGCGATTTGGAGCTTTAGAGCTCTACTTGGAGGATTAGGGTGATGTTGAAGTGCGCTTTAAAAAGTTAGAACCACATAGTAACCCCAGTCCTACTTGCTCTGTTTCCGTGCCCTTTCAGGGAAGGACAGCGACACTGATCAATACATCCTAGGGCTCTATAAGGATATAACTGATGCCTATTGTGGGCTATTTGAGGCCCTATTGTTGATTCTAAGATCCTGCATGACCCTAAGTGCCTTATGCTCCTTGAATTAAGGTGCTATGGTATACTAAGCTCATGCAGGTTCTTCAGCATTGAAACCCTAAACCCTGAAACCCTAAACCCTAAGCCCTAAACCCTAAAACCCTAAGCCCTAAAACCCTAAGCCCTAAACCCTAAGCCCTAAAACCTTAAACCCTATAGATTAGCAGTAGGGCCATTGAAGATGTAAGCCGAGGCAAGGACAACTACGAGTTCGGCGACATTTCCAGGTCTTTGGATGCGAGAGCAAAAGCCGCACCTCGCCAGACAATTCGGGGTTATTCAATGGCAACCCCATACCCTCATAAAGCCTTCAGGATTCAGGGCTTAGGGTTTAGGGTTGAGGGTTCAGGTTTGAGAGTTTAGGGTTGAGGGTTTAGGGTTCCCAGGGTTGAGATTTAGGTTTGAGGTTGTTTAAGGAATCTGGCCTAGATGTTACTAGCAGCTTTTTCGGGTTTAGGATGTATTGCTTAGAGTATTTGGGCGCCCTGGGTAGTTGTGGTCCCGTTTGAGGGTCGGTGATTATACAAGGAAGCGTCATGTTAAGTGCATGCTCCTGTTGAGCTCCCATTGGATGTTAGGGCTGCGTTCTCCAAGCATCGTAGGCGATGAAAGCTCATTCCATCAAACAGGGCCACCGAAGCTAAACACTGGGTTTCGTAAGCTGCCGTAGTTAAGCAAGCTCCTGACCGCGAAAAGGGTTTTCAAGCAATAAAGATTTCGTTGCTGTTCAAGTGTCCAAGTACCCCAATACACTTCCCCCAAACCTGTACTGCGATCATTACCTGGACCTTTGTTTGACTTTTTCTGGGCTCAGAGTAGTTCGAAACCAGCATGCGCTTGCCGCTTGTTTGCGCCCGATTGGCGTGTTTATGCTTTGGTGCGCGACACTATGCGCCCATGTGCGCGTTGTGCAAAAAATTGTGTGTCAAACGAAGCGCCAGGCCAGGTAGCATCGGAACCCCATGTACTCTATTTAAGTACACGGACTCTCAGGGTGAGAAGCACCTAAGCCGGCAAGATAAGGTTCGGCAAGCTGCGCAAATCTAGTTGTGGTTGCCGCAGTTGAGCGCGCCAGCACTTCAAGTGGTGGGGGCATTGATCTGCTTCTGGGGGCGCTTCTCCCCCTAACTTTCATCCCTATAAATCCCTGTATAGCCCCAATGTCCATTTGATTTTCCATGTTCTTTTCCATTTAATTCTCCATTATTGGGGATTTTGGTAATTATTTTGGCCGCTAACTTGGCTGTCCAACGAGCTGAAGTTTATTTCACAACAGCTGCTTGAGGTCCCGAGTAAGCTGCATTAGCAAGGTTTCGGGTTTAGGGTTTAGGGGTTTAAGGTTTAGGTAACAGTATTTGAGTAGATTTGAATTCCCGCGTGACCTTCGTGGACCATAATAGGATAATTCCCAAGCTTCAAGATACGCGGCGCCCTGCAGGCTGTTAATGCTCGCCACATACCTAAACCCTACCTACTTACTGAGTCCTCCTAAACCTTGAATAGTAGTTTCCATGTTCCTTTTTCCATTATCCCTATATCTCCCCTATAGAACCCCTATATTACTATATATTATGGTTCCTCCAAATTGCGAGGAAGTATGCAAAGTCACTGGCAAGGACCGGCCTCAGTTATTAGCTGATAGGGTTTCAGGGATTAGGATTTAGGGTTTAGGGTTTGGGGTCTATAGGGCTTATCATCTAGTTTGCTATTATTCCTGAAGATGAGAATTCGCTAGCATCTCTTTGTTGAGTGCTTTTTCCGGCACCTTTCTTCCTCCCTAAACCCTAAACCCTTTCTCAGGACCCAAGCTGCTTTAAGTGTTTAAGGCGGGTTTGGGGGTTGGAGGAAAGTGGCCCAGGGAGGCCCAACAACTAGAAAGTCGGATGACGTCCGTGATCTTATGGGGGAGTTCCCAAAGTCAAGGTCCTAATTCGGTACCCCTAAATACGAGGTGCCGTAATATGAGTCGCAACCGAAAGGGGCCCATGATTTTGAGAATAACCCATGTAATGTACTCCCTGCTATCTGTTGCCAAAGAGTTGCCCTTTCTGAGGGACCCTGCTTGGAGGGTCGGGGGGCCTAGGTAAGTAATAAGTTACTCATTATGATAGCTGCAGTGGCTTTACGGCTCGTAGGGGTTATCGGCATACTGATTGGGTGACTAGGGTTGCAATCTTCCTCTGCCAACTGTTTTGCCGTGAGTCTGATCAGATCCGTACCGAAAGCTTCTCGGCACTGTACTGGGAGGATCAGGGGGACTCAGCAAGTCAACTTGAAGCCACGTAAGACTTACTTTATAACCCCAAACCCTACACCCCGCAACCCTAAACCCGAAACACCTAAACCCAAAACAACCCTAAAATCCCCAAACCTAAACCTTGAAAGAGGATGTCTACGAGCTGGGCGACCTCAGCAAATACCTGGACGCACAAGCGAAACAGCAGGCCAGGCAGCCAGCACAGGGTTTAGGGCTTAGGGTTTTCGGTTCATAGGGTTTGGGGTATTTTGGGGTTTAGGGTTTGAGGGTTTGAATGCTTTGAGGGTTTGAGGGTGAATCCCTGCGTAGGGGTCATTTGGCGGACACACAACTCCGATAGTGTAGGACACCCCGATGTAGAATCCCCGCATACTTGGATGCATTAGGGTCCGTAGGGTATCCTTTGTGTTGAGAAGCCCCCCCATCTTGCTTTAAAGTATTGGCGGCGTTCTGGTGCTGAGCTATTCCGCTGATGATATACATTTGTCCAAACATACATGCATGTCTGCATATATGTAGTTATGTACGTGGCATATACACGGACATAACCCAATGTCGATGTCGGTGTTGCTTGGCCCTAGTGGCCCTAGTTACACTTAAGCAGCTTAACAAAAATGAGTGAATTCACGCGGACTCGCCGGGATGCGGGGTTTTCTGAAAATTAGGTGTCGTTCTTGGGATCCCTTAAAACAGGATTATAGTATGCTAGTGTCTACATTAGGGCCCCTCCCACTTCTGAAACGACACTGTAGGACATTCCTGTGGCAAGGCTGTGCTCGTCTGCTAGAGGGGTGAAGTTTACCATGACCAAGGGAGTTGAGGTCATTAGAATACCCCGCCGCCTCCCCCCCCGCAAACAAAGGTCCGGAAAATTGGGGGTCGTACCGGGGCCTGACCTGTTTCGGAGTTGAGTCGGAGTAAAAGTAGGAGCAGGAGCAGTAGGAGTAAGAGTAATAGTATTCGGACAGAAGCAAGCAAAAGAACTCTTAGTCT